CAGGTTAGGTTGGATCGACCTGCTGCCAACTTAGTGACTTCAATGTAACCGAAAGATAATAGAAATCGGTAAAATATTGAAATGAGCCCGTTGCCATGGGCGTATTTTTGCCAATATTAATCGGAAAAAGGGAAAATTTATGTCAATTAAAAGCTTGAGGGCGATTTGTATAATATAACTATGCACAGATTTCATGTAACTTGTAGCGTTTGTATTTTATGGATTGAATACGATTAGGAGGTAGTGGAAGGGGTAGCTGTGTCGTGTATAGATACACCGTAGCTCTCGGCCTTATTTGTTGGATAGAGACGAAACTTTTACTTGGCCGATACGCTACCGCGTATCTCGATCCTTTCTATCGACTCGTATCACTTTTCTTGGCATTTTCATTTACATTTTCTGAGTTTTTTTTCATATCTTGGAATGCCATGTTTTGGCGAAACACGCGTTTTTCACAGAATCAATTGTGCGAAACTTTTACTTGGCTGAGATTTTTTTACAAAAACACCAGTTTTTGTCATTTCTCCATTTTTGCGGAGGCTAGAGGGCATACAACAATGTCTGGGAAGAAACAGAAATGTGGAAATATCTCGTAAACTTGATACTGACGGCTATATAGGTTTTGATTGATCTAGAGAGAGGCCATTGAAATTTTGTCAAATTATAGATGCTAATTTGGACTCACTCTGGCCGCTGAATCCACTCCATAGGGACCATTTCATCTGGGTTCAAGCGGCCCAGTAGTTCCGGGGATATTCGATTTTTTGTGTCAATCAATTAGGTCTCATATCTTGAAAATGAGAGGGATAATACAATTTTTTTTTTATGTTCGTCTCAATAGCCTCTATCTAGATTCCAGATCGAGACCACAATGCGTAAGTCCGAGTGGGGGGTATCGTTATGCCGGTCAACGTGCAAAAATTTGAATTTCGAATATAAAAATATGAATGGTTTTATTGCTTTATTTTGCATTGATAAAAAATATCAATAGGTAATTTTCCTTTATATCACTACGAATTGAATGTTTCGGCAGCAATTGAATTGAAAAACACTGGTGAAAAGATTTAATTTTAATTTTTGTTAATAGAGCTTTTTTCATTATATCGATCTCATTGTTGAACATTTGAAAATTCATCCAATGTCCAGTTAATCACAGAAATGAATAACTACTGCAGAAAAACAAAAAAAAAATTGGCTGCAGAGATTGTTCACAGATTAAAAAACGTGTGATCTGAGTTAATAATTAACTAGCAATTATGCGCGCTGTCGCGTACTCTACCTCTGTAGGAAGATAGGAAGGGAGGATATAGATAAGGGAGGATAATAGGGAGGATAGGAAGAGAATGAAAACGATCATTCATTCTCAATTTTTTTATGACAAAGGAAACTGATTAAATTTTAAAGAACGGACATCTCATATTTTTTTCAATTCTTAAGGAAATAATGACTAAGAAATAATCAATTACTGGCACCATACAGCTTTAACAATTATCCTCGGTACAACTAAGCATTTTTCAAGTTAAATTGGCGAAAATGAGATTGAATTTTTCCGTGATAAAATTTTATGAATTTTGAGAGAGTACATAATTCAAACTGGGTACTGCAAACCTTGATTAGCGCAGTAGTTCGGCTTGACAACATGACTCAACGGCTTGCACGCCTGTGTGATTAGTTTCCATATGTGTGTTAGGTTTCTGTCATGAGAGATCACCTAACATGGCTAGCGTTGTTTTTCCCAATCCCAATAAAAAAGATTCACCAGTGAAAACTGTCATGGCGTAGTCCCATTGATCACGTGATCATGGTTTATGCTCATCACCATGTTGAATATGGCGGCACACATTCTCCGGTGAGTTTTGGGCAATGCATGGCGGACTCACATGAGCGACTAAATTCATACGGAGTATATTTTCACTTTTTAAGTTTATTTTATATTATTAAAACTCTTCATTAATCTCGAAAAATTTCCTTATGCAGATAGAATAGATATACAAGTTTTTAAATGATTGGAATTTAATTTTATGTCAAGAACAATGTAATTAAAGATCTTTTTCTTTTCTTAGCTAAGGCCAATTGCAATATTCGAATATTTCTGTTTTATTTTATTCAATTAAGACAAACAAAGATAAAAACGGATATGATTTGATGAGTAACCAATAAATAATGAATAACCTAATTTATTTTTGTTTTTTTTTTAATAAAAAAATTATTTTCATAGAAAACCACAGAGTGATCAACGCCTCGGCCGCTTGCGGCCGGGGCGGCGCGAGTACCCCATAAATTAAGGCCCGGTATTCTCGTCGTGGGAAAATTTGGGTGACTTTTACCCCCCCACAGTTTGCGGCAGACTTCGAAGCTCCATCTAAAAAATACAAGGTCGATAAGAGGAAAAGTGACAAAATGGCACTTTTCCAGGGCCGTCTGGGGCTCTGAAGTCAGGGTGCCCAATTTTCGGGCCCCCTTCGAAAAAAATAGAAGTGGGAATGAGAAATCTATTTTTATTAATTTTTTGAAACAAATAGGCACATGGCGGTGAAAAAGGGGGGAGGGGGCATGGATGCGAGGGTGACATGGGAGTTTGGGTATCGGATGAATCCGTCGGAAAACAATGAAGGATTGACAGTGGCATAAGTGTGGCAGGGTAAAATAGGGGGTTGATGGTGCAGTGAGTGCATGTGTGAAAATGAAGGGTTGAGGATGGGATGACTGTGGCAGGGTAAAATAAGGGGTTGATGGTGCAGTGAG